GGTGAGATTTGAACCGCTGACCTGCTGAACACAGTCAGCTAAAGTGGCCTGCAGTACTGCACTCTAACTGCTGAGCCACCTCGGCTTTATGACAGTTGCACAGTGCCCCAGGGTCACGTGATCCCCTTTTGCGACCTTCTGACAAGCAAAGTCAATGGGGGAGGCCGGATTCACTTAACAACCGTGTCACTAACTGCAGCGATTCACTTAACAACTGAGGCAAAAAAGTTGGGCAAAACTCACTCAACTGCCTCGCTTAACGACATAACTTTTGGGGTCAATTGTGGTCGTATATTGAGGACTACCTTGTACAGCTCAGGGTTCAAGGCAGGAGATAATCTTCCTAGGAAATCTGGTTTGGAAAGAGGCAATTTCTGCAAAGCAAGCCAGCCCCAATGCTTTTATTTTAAATCCACTTTTATTTCTCCAGCAACCGTTTTCTTTTGAGCTAATCTATTTGTGGTTCCAGAGTCAGTGTTTGCAAACTGGCATTGGGCTTCTCCCAAGATCTGGACGCTTGTTTAGCTTGGAGAGATGATTGAATTAACGTTTCTTTCCTGCTGTTCAGTCTGAATATTAAACAGAGCCAGATCAAGATAAAAGTGTTGTAGATAAATGTCCCTGAGGCCTTTTAGCAACAGATTTAGCTGCCTGGACCATCCACCAGATGTTCAGGGCTGCAAGTACAGCTAGTGGCCAAAATTGTGGAAACCTTTTGGGAAAAGTGTACAGTAGAAATGCCACCTTTGGTTAAGTTTCCACCCATTTTTCTTCCAATTTCTTTATAGCTATAGCCTTGTTCACTTAATAATTCTATTTTGCATCACTTTCTGGGCGACCGGTCAACTCTTTGCACCATTCCTTTAATTTTATTATATTTTGCAAGCTCACTCAATGAAAGAACACAAAAAAAACCCCAACCAACTTGATAGCGATCACATAACACACTGACACATGTCCTCCTCTCAGCTTCAATACAGGACCTCAATAACTGAATCCTACTGTGATCTGATTGGCTCATTGCCAAAACAAGACACCTGATTGGCTCTCTAAATGCTCATTCTCATTGGCTACAATCGGATGAAGGAAAGCTACCTGATATCAACCTAAACAAGTTGTGCTTCCTTTTTCTGATTATTTGACTATAACTTTTCATAGAATACAGATAGTTGAACACACTTCGTTGCATTACATTCTTGATTAAATTATCTTTCCATTGATATATAACTTTATGGGAGTACTCCAAAAGAAAGTGGTGTTATTAGCCATCAAACCTCAAATGTATACTTTTCCCAAAAGGTTTCCACACTTTTGGCCACTACTGTATAGCTCGTGCAAAGAAGCAGAAGCAGTAGATCACATACTCACCTGTGCAAAGATAATCGCAAAAGCTGATTATAAAACAACACCTAACACAAGACGCCAAAATGAGTCAGTCGAACATCTGTAAAAGTTATCATGTGCCAGTACTGAAAACGGGTGGGAACATGAGAGATGAAAATAAGTTGAAAATGAGCAGGTTAAAATGTTGTGAGATTTTCAAATACAGGCAGTCCTCGACTTACACAATTGAGCCCAACATTTATGTTGCTAAGCAAGACATGTTAAGTGAATTTTGCCCCATTCTGCGACCTATCTTGCCAGAGTTGTTCAGTGAATCACTGCAGTTGTTAAGTTAGGAACACGGTTGTTAAGTGAATCCGGCTTGCCCCATTGACTTTGATTGTCAAAAGGTCGCAAAAGGGGATCACATGACCCCCTGGGACATTGCGTCCATCATAAATATGAATCAGTTGCAAACTGTCTGAATTTTGATCATATGATATCGGGGATGCTGCAACGGTCATAAGTGTGAAAAATGGTCATAAGTCGCTTTTTTCAGTGCTGTTGTAACTCTGAATGACCACTAAATGGACTGTTGTAAGTTGAGAACTACCTCTATTATGCCGTACATAAAGATATCCTAGATTCTTGGGAAGAACTTAATGTGAATGAAAGCCAATACCAGCTAAACAACCGGCAGCACTGTTAGACATATAATAATAACAACAGTCTGGAAAGATAGATGGGGAACTCATCAAATTTGCAGACGACACCAAGCTGGCAGGAATAGCCAACACTCCAGAAGACAGGCTTAGGATACAGGAGGATCTGGACAGACTGGAATACTGGGCGCTATCTAACAAAATGAAATTCAATGGTGAAAAAAGTAAGGTTCTACATTTAGGCAAGAAAAACCAAATGTACAGGTATAGTATAGGGGGTACCTTGCTCAATAGTAGTAACTGTGAGAGGGATCTTGGAGTCTTAGTGGACAATCACTTAAATATGAGCCACCAGTGTGCTGCAGCTGCCAAAAAAGCCAACACAGTGCTAGGCTGCATTAGAGGGATAGAATCAAGATCATGTGAAGTGTTAACACCACTTTACAATGCCTTAGTAAGGCCACACTTGGAATACTGCATCCAATTTTGGTCACCGCGATGCAAAAAAGATGCTGAGACTTTAGAAAGAGTGCAGAGAAGAGCAACAAAGATGATTAGGGGACTGGAAGCTAAAGCATATAAGGAACGGTTGCTGGAATTGGGTTTGTCTAGTTTAATGAAGAGAAGGATGAGGGGGGACATGATAGTGTTCCAATATCTCAGGGGCTGCCACAAAGAAGAGGTAGTCAAGCTATTCTCCAAAGCGCCTGAAGGCAGAACAAGAAGCAACAGATGGAAACTAATCAAGGAGAGAAGCAAGCTAGAACTAAGGAGAAACTTCCTGATAGTTAGAACAATTAACCAGTGGAACAACCTGCCTCCAGAAGCGGTGAATGCTCCAACACTGGAAGTTTTTAAGAGACTGGACAGCCATTTGTCTGAAATGGAATAGGGCAGTGATGGCGAACCTTTTAGAGACCGAGTGCCCAAACTGCAACCCAAAATCCACTTACGCATCGTCGGGTGCTGGCTGGGTGTGGCCCATTGGCTGGGCATGGCTGTGGTAGTAACAGCAGACTGGGTGGGACTAAAAAGTTCAATCAATCAATTCCAACTTTGCAAGATCTTCTCCCCCCCCCCGCCAGAAGTTGAAATTGACTGATTGAACCTTTTTTTTTTTGCACACGGCGGCAGAGGCCTAAAGTGAAAAGGTTTTATAAAACCAAGCAGAAGGCCTAGGACTGGGGCGACGGCGCGCGTGCCCACTGAGAGGGCTCTGAGTGCCGCCTTTGGCACCCGTGCCATAGGTTCGCCACCACTGGTATAGGGTTTCCTGCCTGAGCAGGGAGTTGGACTTGATGACCTCCAAGGTCCCTTCCAACCTTATTATTATTATATATTTCATGACCCAAACTAGGTAACATCTGTTCTCTGATGATGTTACTAATTTGGATCATGGAACGTCTGCAAGAAAACAAGCCAGCTCATAGAGTATCAAGGACCCCTCATTTCAACCTTGAGCTACATTCTCCTTAATTTTGCAAATACACCAGAGGAAAAGGATGGAGGCTTGCAACAGGGATCGAGGTGAGAAAAAAGGGGGACGCAGGTTCGCCCTTTCTGCCCTTCCTCCCGGGTTCACACCCCAAAGCCTAAAAAATAATTTGGACTATTCATTTTTCTGCGCCCGCCCGCCTCTCTTGCTTTGACGGGCACCGGGGCAATTCAAAAAAGACGCTGCTACTTTTTTTTTTGTATAAGATTTTATTATTATTTTTTCCCCATACATACAATAATTTTTCAACCAACCTGCTGTCTGTGTTTAAATTTGCTAATACATATTTAATTCCTAATCCTTTATTCTTTCCTCTAGTCATCGATAAGTCCCAAGTTTGATAATATTGTTTCTTCTCTCTCTTTCAGTCTCATAGTCAATCTGTCCATCTCTGCGCATTCTAATATATTTTTTTAAGTATTTCTTCACCTGATGGTATTCCTTCATTTTTTCCAATAGTGCGCAAATATCATTCTTGCCGCTGTTGTGACATGCAAAATCAAATACAGTTAAGTCTTTTCTGGCATTATACCTAATAAAAAAAGCTCAGGTTTAAAATCTACATGTTCCCCCAACATCTTTTCTAGCCAGGTATGTATGTATCTTTTCCCAGTAATTCTTTACTTTATCACATGTCCATCAAACATGATAATACTGCCTGACTTATGACGCCTTTGGAAAAAAGCGAGTCATTTCGTTCTTTGTCACTATATCCTTGCTCAGTGCAAGACTGAAGTTAGAAATCAAAAGTTTGCACAATTTAAGGGTGTGCAATGCACGTTGCGCCTGGACTGGGGGGGCGGTGCATTTTGCAAAGCCTCACCAGCTCGGGAGGAGAAGCAGATCTACTTAATCCGAATTGGGTTTCGCTTCAGGGGGGCGAAGCTCTTTATATTTGAACCCGTCTTGCAATTTCAAGATTAGGGCAAGAGGATCTCTGAGCATGAGCAGAGTGCCGTAATGCACCCGAGACGGAAAGAAACACTGCGGAGCATATGCCGACGGTCCTGCAAAGAAAGGAGAGATAACTTTTTTTTGCAGGAAATGAGAACTGGGGCTGACATCCGATGCAAACCACGGCTGCAATCATAAAATCAGACAGGGAAAGCGGTTGCAGGGCAAAATCCACATTTGCAAGGTTGTGGGAATACCGGCAGTCGATTAAAAATAGAGCGCCCTCCTAAAGCCGCGCTGGCGTAACGTCACTTTGCACCCTGAATGGGACTCGACGTGACTCCGCTTTGAATGCAATCAAACCCACCTGGGCGGGGAGATAAGCAGCTTCGTTTGCATTCACTGCGACCCGTGATGCTTTGCGAGGCAGAACCCCCGCGGCTGCTCCATGATTTTTGCTCTTTTTTCACTTCCTGCGAACGACCCTTTCTTAAAACCGGCGGGAACCGTAGAAAAGCTATTCCTCTAAACCAGGTGACACGTGTTGCGCACCGTCTCTTTTCGGACGCCGTGACCTCAGTAACTCTCCTCACCGAAACGGTTCGCTTCGGGGGAGGCGAGATGTTATACTCTGGTTTCTCTTCAAATCGTATAAATCTTTCGCCTTTTACTAAAGATTTCCGTGGAGAGGAGCATTTATGAGTTTTCGTTAATTTTTTGAGGCTCTACTTCGGTAGGGCAACATTTGCATGGTTCAAAAATAGAAAAAAATTAGAGTGTGTTATGATTGGTGTGCTTTCGCGCCAATTATTACTCATTTGCATTCTACTGTCTTGAGGGTTAAGCAAGGTGAATGTTTTCTTTCAGGCTTCAGTTTTTCTCATGGTTTGTTGGGTCTTTTATGTTTCTTTAATAGCGTAGCTCAATGGTTCTCAACCTGTGGGTCGGGACCCCATTTGGGGTCGACCGAGACCATTTCACGGGGTCGCCAAACAACGGAGTCTGCCATTTCCCCCCCCCCTTTTTCTTAGCTGTGCTACTCCCTTTTATTCTATTGGCTTTTGAAAGCCCATAGAATAGGCTCTCTTGAATAGAGTCTAATTCTACTGGCTTTCAAAAGCCAATAGGAATTGTCCAGGCTGTCTCTGCCCTGCTGAGCCCGCCAAAAGTCCCATTCTGCAAACGGCTGCATCAGTTGAGTAGTCCTCGACTTACGACTGGTTGAGTAGTCCTTGACTTACGACCGGTTGGGTTGTCGCGGCATTAAAAAGGTTGAGAACCTTTTTAACCGTTCAAACAATTTATCCAGCAAACCTCTTAATCATTTTTGCTGCTCTTCTCTGCACTCTTTCTAGAATCTCATCTTTTTTATATCATAGCAGCCAAAATTGGATGCAATACAGGTTAGTTTTCGACTTACAACAGTTCGTTTAGTGACTGTTCGAAGTTGCAGTAGCACTGAAAAAAGTGACAAGACCGTTTTTCACACTTAGGATCATTGCAGCATCCCCATGGTCGCGGATTCTTGACAGCTGGTTCATATTTATGATGGTTACAAAGTGTCCCGGGATCATGTGACCTTCTGACAAGCAAAGTCAATGGGAAAGCCAAGTTTATTTAACAACCGGGTTACTAATTTATTCATTGAAATAGTTCACTTAACAAATGTGGCAAGAAAAGTCATAAAATGGTGCAAAACCCAGCAAATTTCTCACTTAGCAAAATATATTCTGGGCTCAATTGTGTCGTACGTTAAGGACTACCTGTTTTTCAAGGGTCATCTTACCAAGGCATTATAACGCGGCACCAACATTTCATGTGATCTTGGTCATATCCCTCTATTGATGCACCCTAGCACTGTGTTGGCTTTTTTGGCACACGGTTGCAGCACACGGCTGGCTCCTATTTAAATGATTATCCACTGGGACTCCAAGATCCCTCTCATAGTTTACTACTCCTATTAAGGTACCACTAGGACTCCTGCTTGAGTAGGGGATTGGACTAAATAATAATAATAATAATAATAATAATAATAATAATAAAAATAAAGTTGGAAGGGACCTTGGAGGTCATCTAGTCCAACCCCCTGCTCAGGCAGGAAACCCTATACCATTTCAGACAAATGGCTGTCCAGTCTCTTCTTAAAAACTTCCAGTGTTGGAGCATTCACCGCTTCTGGAGGCAGGTTGTTCCACTGGTTAATTGTTCTAACTGTCAGGAAGTTTCTCCTTAGTTCTAGGTTGCTTCTCTCCTTGATGAGTTTCCACCCGTTGCTTCTTGTCCTGCCTTCAGGCGCTTTGGAAAATAGCTTGACTCCCTCTTCTTTGGGGCAGCCCCTGAGATATTGGAACACTGCTATCATGTCCCCCCTCGTCCTTCTCTTTGTTAAACTTGACATACCCAATTCCAGCAACCGTTCCTTATATGCTTTAGCCTCCAGTCCTCTAATCATCTTTGTTGCTCTTCTCTGTATTCTTTCTAGAGTCTCAACATCTTTTTTACATCATGGTGACCAAAACTGGATGCCATATTCCAAGTGTGGCCTTACCAAGGCCTTGTAAAGTGGTATTAACACTTCACCTGATCCTGATTCTATCCCTCTGTTAATGCAGCCTAGCACTGTGTTGGCCTTTTTGGCAGCTGCAGCACACGGCTGGCTCATATTTAAGGGATTGTCCACTAAGACTCCGAGATCCCTCTCACAGTTACTACTATTGAGCAAGGTACCCCCTATACGATACCTGTACATTTGGTTTTTCTTGCCTAAATGTAGAACCTTACTTTTTTCACCATTGAATTTCATTTTGTTAGATAGCGCCCAGTGTTCTAGTCTGTCCAGATCCTCCTGTATCCTAAGCCTGTCTTCTGGAGTCTTGGCTATTCCTGCCAGCTTGGTGTCATCTGCAAATTTGACGAGTTCCCCATCTATCCCCTCGTCCAAATCATTGATATAGATATTGAAGAGCACCGGGCCCAGAACAAAGCCTTGGGGCACCCCACTACACACTTCCCTCCATGTAGATGCGGTTCCATTGAGGACCACACGCTGAGTACGGCCAGTCAGCCAGCTATGGATGACCTCCAAGGTCTCTTCATCTCTGTTATTCTGATTCTTGGGTGGTTTTCTAGGCAGCCTCTCTTCACCTTCTCCCCCCACACAATCCTTCACAATATATTTCTGACGGTTGATTACATGCCATTAGGTTGTGATCAACTCTTAGCAGTCACTAAGTACATAAGTGGATTTTCTGTTGAATCAACCTTTATCTCAGATGTGTAGATACAAGTAGTCCTCAGCTTGTGACCCATAATTAAGCCCAACATTTCCATTGCTAAACAAGGCAGTGAGTTTTGCCCCGTTTTATGACTTTTCTTGCCAAGTTGTTAAGTGAATCACTGCAGCTGTTAAAGTAGTTAAGTGAATTTGGCTTCCCTATTGAGTTTACTTGTCAGAAGGTTGCAAAAGAGGATCACATGACCCCGGGACACAAATATGAGTCAGTTGCCAAGCATCTGAATTTTGATCACGTGACCAGAGGGATACTGCAACGGTCGTAAGTGTGGAATCTGATCATAAGTCACTTTTTGCAGTGCCGTTGTAACTTCGAACTGTCACTAAATAAATGGTTATAAATCAAAGATGATCTGCACCGTTATCATTCTTAAGGACCCAAATCCAATGATGGCACTTTATTGGTGGTTCCAGTTCTTTAGCCCATGTTTGAAATATGGCAGCAATGTCCATTTGAAAACTATTTCTGAGCTTTTGATGAAGGTACAGTATGTTATAGGTTTTCTTCTGGTAGAGATGCCAATCAAGGAGGAAAACATCCCAAAACATCTGGCTCATGTCTATCTGGCTATTAGAACATGCTGCCACTGGAGATGTTGCTGGAGAAATCGTTGCATAGCAATTGCTTTTAAAGTCAAAATCCCGATTCTACCCATATTTTCCGGTAAATTGCTTATGCCAATCTTTAAAGAAAAACTTGCCAGTATTGATGAATTTCTTTATCTGAACCCAATCTAGAGGAAGTCTTTGGCTTACGACCATAATTGTGCTCGGAATTATGGTCATAAATAACGGTTATTACATGAGTCACCATGTGACCAGACCTGATTTTCTAGCACTTCTGGTGACAGTTGTTAAATGAACCTCATAGACATTAAATGAATCCATTTTACCCAATCAGTGTTTTTTTGTAAAAAAAAAGAAAAAAAAAAAAACAGTATAGAAAAGCAAATCCATTTTGCTTTATTGCTTTGTTTATCCACATGTTCCACTGAGAAATTTTACCCCTTTGATATCCAGCCAAATGCAAAGATGCAAGACAATTCCTAGATTATCCGGTAAGTCAGGTAAAGTACAGGTTGTCCTCAGAATTACAACCACAATTGAGCCCCAAATTGATGTTGTTAAGTGAGAAATTTGTTAAGTGAGTTTTGCCCCATTTTACAACTTTTCTTGACAAATTTGTTAAGTGAACCACTGCAGTTGTTAAATTAATAACAGTTGTTAAGTGAATCAGGTTTCCCCATTGACTTTGCTTGTCAGAAGATTGCAAACACTGCAACCGTCATCAATACAAACCAGTTGTCTAGCATGCCAAATATAAACCACGTGATCAAGGAATGCTGCAACTGCAACGGTCATATAAGTAACTATCAATTTTTTCAGTCTCATTATAACTTCGAACAGTCACTAAATACGGGGTGTCAACTGCTGGTCCACCGGTTTCACGTGAGGTGCTGAAATTGACACCCCTGCACTAAATGAATTGGTGTAAGTGAAATGGTCACTAAACTTCCTCACTCATCAAGCAATCATGCAAATAACCAATATTTTGCATGAATAGGGCTACAACCCTACACACTAAGTATCAGCAATACCTCAAATTTTTTCTATTTTTGAACTATGTAAACGTAGCCCCACCGAAGCAGGGCCTCAAAAAATTAATGAAAACTCATAAATGTTCCTCTCCACGGAAATCTTTAGTAAAAGGCGAAAGATTTATACGATCTGAAGAGAAACCAGAGTATACGTTGTATCGCCACCGACACCGATCCCTACGGCGGCGGTTGACACTGAGGTTAGGGCGTCTCGTGCGACCGTGCACAAACACGAGTCTGTGGGTTAAACAAGAAGACTTTTTCTATCATTCCCGCCTGTTCCAGAACCGGGAGTTTCGCACGGAGCGAAACAGGGCATACATCGCGGGAGAGTCGCAGTCTTTCCTCTCCGCAAAGCATCACGGTTGAAGCAAATGCAAATGAAGCTCCTCAATCTTCCCGCCTCCCGCCCAGTTCGGATTCCGTTTGCTGCTTTGCTGGCCGTAATAACCCTGGACCCTCAAATCGGAGTCACACCTAAAGTTACACTCAGGGTGCAAAGTGATGTCAGCTAAAGGAGGCTTTGCTCTAGAAAAGGGTGTACACGTCTTTGATAACGATTCGGAGAAAAAGTTTTACCCTTTTCTAAAAGCAAAGCTTCCTTTAGCTGACGTCATTTTGCACCCCGAGTGTAACTTTAGGCGTGACTCCGATTTGACTGCAGGGTTACCCCTAGCAAAGCACCAAACGGAAACCGAACTGCGCGGGGAGGCGGGAAGATTGAGGAGCTTCATTTGCATTTGCTTCAACCGTGATGCTTTGCGGAGAGGAAAGACTGCGACTCTCCCGCGATGTATGGCCCGTTTCGCTCCGTGCGAAACTCCCGGTTCTGGAACCGGCGGGAATGTTC